ACAGGGGCTGTGTGCAGGATTTGGGGACACGGAACAGGATTTGGGGACAGGGGCTGTGTGCAGGATTTGGTGGCACGGAACAGGATTTGGGGACAGGGGGCAGGATTTGGGGACAAGACACAGGCTGGGGACAGGACGGGAGTTGGGGACAGGGGCTGTGCATGGCATTTGGGGACAGCGGCTGCAGGCATGCTTTGGGGACAGGGACCGGTGACAGGTTGGGGACAGTGCCCGTGCCGGGGGTCCCTCACCGTCGGGGTCGGGCCCCAGCGGGTCGGTGGCCGCTGCCAGCTCCGCCCGAGCCTCCTGCAGCTCCCGCCGGCTCTGCGCGTCTGGGGGAGGGGACAGGGGAGTGACAGGACCCCCGACCCTGCCCGGGGTCCCTGCCTGGGGTCCCTGTCCCCTCCTGACCCCATCCGAGGTCCCCCGACCCTGCCCGGGGTCCCTGTCCCCTTCCTGGGGTCCCTGTCCCCTCCTGGCCCTGCCCGGGACCCCCCAACTCCTCCCGACCCAGAGACCCCCGCCCCTGCCCGGCCTGGCCGTGCCCATTTTGGGGTGGGGACAGCGCTGGGAGGGGACCCCCGACTCCTGCCCGGGACCCCCGCCATCCCCTCTCAGACCCCTTTCCAGCCCTTTTCCCAAACTCCAGCCCTTTCCCAACCCCTTTCCCGGCTCCTCTCTAAATCCCAGCCCCTTTTCCAATCGTTTTCCCAAACGCCAGCCCCTTCCCAACCTTTTTCCCAGCCCCTTTCCCAAAACCTAACCCCTTTCCCAACCCCTTTCCTAAATCCCAGCCCCTCTCCCACTTCCAGCCCCTCCTAACCCCTTTCCCGGCCCCTTTCCCGAACCCCAACTCCCTTCCCAATCCTTTTCAAAGCCTTTTTCCCAAACCCCAGCCCCTTCCTAACCCCCTTCCCGACCCCTCTTTAAATCCCAGCCCTTTCCCAACCCCTTTTTCCAAACCCCAGCCTCTTTCCCAGCCCCTCTCCAAACTCCAGACCCTTCCCAACCCCTTTTCCCAGCCCCCCTCTAAATCCCAGCCCCTTTCCCAACTTTTCCCAAACCCCATCCCCTTTCCCAAATCCTTTCCCAATCCCAGCCCCTTTCCCAGCCCCTCTCCCACTTCCAGCCCCTGCCAGGCCCCTTTCCAGCCCTTTTCCCAAACTCCAGCCCCTTCCCAACACCTTTTCCGGACCCTCTTCAAATCCCAGCCCTTTCCCAAATTTTCCCAAACCCCAACCCTTTCCCAAACCCCTTCCCAGCCCCTCTCCACCTCCAGCCCCTCCCAAACCCTTTTCCAGCCCCTTTCCCAAATCCCAGCCCCTCTCCAGCCTCTTCCAACCTCATTCCCAAAACCTCTCCCACTTCCAACCCTTCCCAACCCCTTTCCCAGCCCCTCTCCACTTCCAGCCCCTCCCAAACCCTTTCCCAACCCCTTTCCCAACCCCTTTCCCAGCCCCTCTCCACCTCCAGCCCCTCCCAAACCCTTCCCAACCCCTTTCCCAGCCCCTCTCCACTTCTAGCCCCTCCCAAACCCTTTCCCAGCCCCTTTCCCAGCCCCTTCCCCAACCCCCAGCCCCTGTCCCAGCCCCTCTCCAGCCTCTTCCAACCTCATTCCCAAAACCTCTCCCACTTCCATCCCTTCCCAACCCCTTTCCCAAACCCTTTCCCAGCCCCTCTCCACCTCCAGCCCCTCCCAACCCCTTTCCCAGCCCCTTTCCCAAACCCCAGCCCCTCTCCAGCCTCTTCCAACCTCCTTCCCAAAACCTCTCCCACTTCCAACCCTTCCCAACCCCTTTCCCAAACTCTTTCCCAGCCCCTCTCCACCTCCAGCCCCTCCCAACCCCTTTCCCAACCCCTTCCCCAAATCCCAGCCCCTCTCCAGCCTCTTCCAACCTCATTCCCAAAACCTCTCGCACTTCCATCCCTTCCCAACCCCTTTCCCAGCCCCTCTCCACTTCCAGCCCCTCCCAAACCCTTTCCCAAACCCTTTCCCAGCCCCTTTCCCAAACCCCAGCCCCTCTCCAGCCTCTTCCAACCTCATTCCCAAAACCTCTCCCACTTCCATCCCTTCCCAGCCCCTTTCCCAGCCCCTTTCCCACCCCTGCCGCCCCTGTCGCCTCTGTCCCCACTCACAGAGTGCCCCCAGCGCCGCCAGGGCCGCCACCAGCAGCAGCAGCGCGGCCGTGCCCAGCGCCCGGCGACACGCGTGACACCGCGGGGACAGCGCGGGCGGCGGCGCGGGGTCCCCGCGGGCCCGGGGGGGCGGGTACCGGATCTCCAGGGTCTCGTACAGGTCGGGGCTGTTGGCCATGGCCCCGGCGACACGTTGGGGACAGGGACGGTGCTGGCCCCGCTTCCTGCTCCGTGCCAGCCGGGGGAACAGGAACCCCGCTGATGCCACCCGCCCGGCGTCACGCGTGTCTCCACGCCCCCAGGGGACAGCCAGCCCGCCCTGGGGACGGGCAGGGGGTGAGGGGCTGGACCCCGCGGCCAGCCCTGTGTCCCTGAGTGTCCCTGGTCCTGTCCCCATCCTTGTCCCCAGTCCTGAGCCTGGCACTGGACTGGTCCCTGAGTGTCCCTGGTCCTGTCCCCATCCTTGTCCCCAGTCCTGAGCCTGGCACTGGACTGGTCCCTGAGTGTCCCTGATCCTGTCCCCATCCTTGTTCCTCTTCCTGAGCCTGGCACTGGACTGGTCCCTGAGNGAGTGTCCCTGATCCTGTCCCCATCCTTGTTCCTCTTCCTGAGCCTGGCACTGGACTGGTCCCTGAGTGTCCCTGATCCTGTCCCCATCCTTGTTTCTGTTCCTGACCCTGGCACTGGACTGGTCCCTGTGCCTGATCCAGTGACAGGGTCAGGACTGGGGACAGTGACAAGGATGGGGACAGGATCAGACAGGAACAGTCAGCTCCCATCCTTGTCCCTGATCCTGTCATTGGACTGGTTCCTGTCCCCGAGTCTGTCTCTGATCCTGTCCCCATCCTTGTCCCTGATCCTGTCACTGGACTGGTTCCTGTCCCTGATCCTGTCCCCATCCTTGTCCCTGCCTGTCCCTGATCCTGTCCCCATCCTTGTCCCTGTCCCCTGTCATTGGACTGGTTCCTGTCCCTGAGTCTGTCCCTGATCTTGTCCCCATCCTTGTCCTCGATTGTGTCCCCAATCCTGTCCTTGTCCCTGACTCCGTCCCTTGTCCCTGTCCCCAGTCCTGACCCTGTCGCTGGACTGGTCCCTGTCCCTGATCCTGTCCTCATCCTTGTCCCTGCCTGTCCCTGATCCTGTCCCCATGTTTGTCCCTGTCCTTGTCCCTGACTCTGTCCCTGTCTGATCCTGTCCCCACCTTGTCCCTGCCTGTCCCTGATCCTGTCCCCATCCTTGTCCCTGTCCTTGTCCCTGACTCTGTCCCGGTCTGATCCTGCCACATCCTTGTCCCTGTCCCCAGTCCTGACCCTGTCACTGGACTTGTCCCTGTCCCTGAGTCTGTCCCTGATCCAGTGACAGGGTCAGGACTGGGGACAGGGACAAGGATGGGGACAGGATCAGGGACAGGCAGGGACAAGGATGGGAACTGACTCTGTCCTTTTCTGATCCTGTCCCTTGTCATTGGACTTGTCCCTGTCCCTGGGTCTGTCCCTGATCTTGTCCCCATCCTTGTCCCTGTCTGTGTCCCCAATCCTGTCCTTATACCTGACTCTGCCCCTTGTCCCTGTCCCCATCCTTGTCCCTGTCCCCTGTCACCGGACTTGTCCCTGTCCCTGGGTCTGTCCCTGTCCCTGTCCCTGTCACCGGACTTGTCCCTGTCCCTGTTACTGATCTTGTCCCAGTCACTGTCCCAGATCCTGAGCTTGTCCCAGTCCCTCTGTCCCCAGCCCTGTCCCCGTGTCCCTGAATCCCTAAATCCATCTGTCCCTGTGTCCCTGTGTCCCTGAATCCCTGTGTCCCTAAATCCCTCTGTCCC